TTTTTTTTTTTTGGAGGGAGAGAGAGAGAGAGAGGCAGACTCCCTCCTTCGGTGCAAGGAGGGAAAAGGGGTGGGGAGCCCGCTTGGCCCTTTACCTTCCCCCACCCCATAACACACACAGACATATATATAGAGATGGGGGGGTCGAGGAGGGAAAAACAGATGGGGTGCATGCAGTCTTCCTTCCAGGAGGGCTCGAAGGCGGGAGATGAAGGGACCGGGTGGCCGGGGTGGGGGTGAAGCCCTCCAACCTGCAGAATCCCCCCCCCCGGGCTGCCCTGCTGCAGGATGGAGGGGTCCGTGGGTGTTCAGGCACATTTTGGGAAGGGGGCCAGTAGGACTCTGGAGGGAAGCTGGCTTTGAAGGCAAGGGGTCTAGGAGGACGAATCAGGTTTCCGGCTCTTTCCCCTGCAGTCTTTTCTCGGGGTCCCCCTTTCTGTATCTTGGGGTGCAGATATAGGGTTTGGATTTTTAGGATGTGTGGAGGCGGGAAAGAGATATTGGGGAGGGGTTACTCACCCCCCCCCCCAATTTTATGCGGTATCTCCCGCCAGTCTGTTTGCCAGACTTCTTGTAATGCGATTGCCTTGCCTTTGCACCCCTTTGGGGCCATCGGGAGCTTCTCCCGGAGCGTCGGGGGGAGAGCGGCGGCAATCGAGGGAGACGCCCGCCCGGAGTCCAGCCTACTGTTGCAGCCGCCTTTTCTTCCCCGCTCTCTGTAAATTTGGCGCGGGGTCGGAGAGCGGCGTATAGGCGGCTGGGCTGCGGGGAAGGGATGGGGTAGAGCAAATGGCAGCCCCCGGGATACCTAAGGCAGAAAAAAGGGGACACTGAAGATCTTTTTTTTTTTTTGCTTTAATGTGGCACTCACAGAGAAATCGCAATGCTTGTTTCTGTAATAATAAGCTGTCTAATATACTGTAGTGTTCTGGGGCAAAGTAAATATTGATTTTATTTGTAAACACATGATTTGTGTGCATAAAACATTATTGTGTGCAAAAATACTTTCTATGCACATACAGGTCATCTCTGCTCTTAACAATGGTGTTGGGATGGGGAGTCTTCATAATGTCTGTGGTGAATTTGTGTATAAAAGACAAACCAGAACCACTTAAGTCTCTGCCCTACAGGCTGACTATAAATGAAGGAAATAAATACTCTAATTAAGCACAAAACATAGATCTGCATGTTCCTGGCACAATTTTCTGAAGAAGCAAATACAGTGGTTGCTTGGATTAAGGCTTTTAAGATGCAGAACAAAATGGCTACTTAAAGCAGTACATGGGAGGCAGCTGGTGGAACACTAGAATCTGAAATTGACCAAATATGTGGATGAGATTGTGGGAAGGGGTGAAAATGAAGGGTACCTCTTGAAAGCAACATTCATGTTGCTGCTGTAGAAGTGGCTAGCTGGGGGATTTAGGGTGTGATATTCTGGCAATTCTAGCCCCTTCATTCTATTTTGAGGGCCTTAAACATTAGTGTGAGCAGTTTGCCCAAATGGCTTTATGGGCCAAGCACAATGTTGTCAAAAGGTGTAGGCATCTCCAACCTTTGTATGGGATACTTCTGTGCTCCTGGTCATACATTCGCATGCCCAGATAGGGGCTCAGGAAGCTTCTGCCTGTATGCCCCATGGGGTCATGTGTGACTTCTTTAGCTGTACTGTTGCAGCAGTAGCTGAGGATATGTTTGATTGGTATATGAACACTGGGAGTTGGGCTTAATTTGTGCAAAACAGCATTTTGTGCATTCATGAAATAAACATGGTTTTCCTCATGTTGCAGGCAAGGATCTGGAGTCTTAATAAGATGTCAAGACGCAGGTAACTTGTCACTTTTATTACAAGCTACAATGTATGTATAGCAATGCATTATGCTGCTATTTTCATAGTACAAATTTGTTCCACCCTCTACAGCAGCCGTTTACAAGCTAAGTTGCACCAGCCCTGCCAGGATACATCTCCACAAGAACTGCAGGTGCCAGAGGGTCTTCATACCAGAAAAAGAAAAGCAATAGAGGTGGGTAGGAGTGAACAAGGGATCTCTCGGGCCATGTATCGGAAGTTGGATTTGCCTGGTCAGTCCCAGCTAATCTGCAGATTCACTGGGTAGCCCTAAATTATCTCTTTTGCAATCAGCATTGCTTCTGTGTTTGTTGGTTTTTGGTGTCAAATTACAGCTGATTTATGGTAACCCCACAGGGTTTTCAAGGCAAGAGATGAACAGAGGTGGTTTGCCTCTCTGTAGCAATCTTGGATTTCCTTGGTGGTCTCCCATTCCCATTCCCATGCTGGGAAAGATTGAAGGTCAAAGAAAGGGACGGCAAAGGATGAGATGGTTAGACAGTGTCATAGATGCAACGAACATGAAATTGAGCAAACTTCAGAGGACGGCGGAAGACAGGAAGGCCTGGCGTGATCTGGCCCATGGGGTCGCAAAGAGTCGGACTCGACTGTGCGACTGAACAACAACAACTCCCATTCAAGTACTAACCAGGGCTGGCTCTGCTTAGCTTCCGAGATCTGATGAGATCGGACTAGCCTAGGCTGTCGATGACAGGGCTGCTTCTGTAATAGAAGAGTAATATTTGCATCTTGCAAAGGTGGCTGAAGTCTGTGGACATATGAGTAATAGAAATACTAATACACACACACGCTCATACGTATAGAGAGGCTATGTACTTTCTAATATTGCTACATTGATTGTGAGAACTTGATGCTTTCTTCTTGCATCTTTTATAAAAAGAAAAAGTTATAAAATATTACCACTCTTCAACAGCTGTGATGTGTTGTTGCATAGATGTTGTTGTCAGGAATTAATAAAGCTTTGTCGAACTAAGGGTATGCTGGAGGCTTTAATAGTACTGTCAGGGGGAGAGAATTTCTTAGACTAGGTATATCTGAGATTTCTTAATGTGTATTTGGTTTTGCTTTCAAAGGATACCAAGAGACAAGAAGAAAACGTCAACACAAGACATCAGTATGAAATTCAGGTAGTGTAGTTCTCCCCAAAACTACTTTGAAACTGGGCCAGCCTACCTACTGTCTTTCACATGTGTAATAGCTTAAATTAGGGCTGGGTCAAATGTTCTACACGAACTGTCCTGATGCAAGCGGGGCTTTTGTGAAAGCATGGTCCCATTCATTTTTTAAAACTGTTCTCTGGCCTCTTTATGGTCCAGCTGCAACTTAACTCCCTGTTGCTGCTCAGTATCTTTTGTGCAACACTTCACCACAGTGAGGGCAGGGAAGCATTGTCACTGCTGTGGTTTGCTTTTGGGCATTCTCATATGGCTGAACGTGGTTTCTCTTGTTTGGTGACAGTGCCATGTAACTAGCATAAGGAAAATGCTTCCTGCTCTCACTGTAAAGTCACAACTGAGAGAGCAAAAATTGGTGCTAAGCATAACTGCCTCAGTTGATAGGTTGACTGACTGCTTTCACAGCGTTCCCTAAGAAATTGCCAACTTGTCAGCAGGCTCCAACTTCTGACAAAGTTTGGAGAAGCATTTTGGTTTGGCCCTAGTTCAGTATAGATATTGCTCAGGTGTGCACATGGAGTTCAGTGAGAAGGGGGTTTCCTTTTTACTTTTACGGTACAGAGGGAGATGTTGTATTTGCATTTGTAAAGCATTTGTAAAGTTTAAACTGCCCCGGGAATGCACATGTAGCTTGTGTAGTTAGCTTAATTATCTCAGACAAAAAATATATATATATATAGCTATTGGCTGCTTCGTCTTGTGTGCTTTACAGCTGCACCTGTATCATAGATTAAAAAGTATATTCTGTTAAGGAAGGTTCTTCCCAAAATGTATAATTATAATAAGGGAGTTGTAAATGTTTTGATTAAACAGTTACAGTTAAAACCCAGCATCCTGGTGACAGGAGTTTCTTGCTAGAAAACTCGTAATCCATCATCTGATAAATGGACATTAGAAACTGCTTCCCAGGGCTGGGATAGTGTTCTATGTTTGATTTTTTTTCCTTAAACTGGCACTTAATATTTTATTACAGAGCTGTTGGCCGCCTATGATGTCTGGAGGCATCTCTCCCTGCATAATAATAGAAACCCCTCACAAAGAAACACCAAGTACTGACTTTTCCAGATTCAAAAAATACAGATTCAGAAACCTCTTCATAAATCCATCACCTTTACCTGAACTTAGGTAAGTTGATCATAAAAGCAGCTGCGAAGTTGGTTATACTTTGTTTTATTGGGTCAGAGAACAGGACTCCAAAACCCACTTCCTGAATTATTTATACCTAGTAGTAGGGAAAACAAATCTTTGATTTGATTCTTGCAGTGAGAGCAAAGGACTAGCACATTAAACAATGTGAGTATCTGGTTTATAGTACCTGGACTGAATATTTTAAGAGTAATTATAAAAACTAAGGTTTGAATTCCATTATGAAATTTTGATTAATTTAACTTTGTATGATGCCAACCAGTGGGAAGAAACACTGCCTATGGTGGGCTAATAAGAGCTGCTATTAGTGGAAAAACATTAAAAGATGATAGCTACGATTCACCAATCATTTGTGCTGTGTGGCTTGAAGTGGAAGAAGGTAGTGAGAAATAGGATAGGAACACTCCATGTTTGCACACAAAACATGTTGCATCCAGTTCCTTGTGTCTTCTTTCCCCCACAGTGAAACTGATGTGATTTTTAGCAAGTTGTGTGACTGTTGGCATGAAACTGACCAGTGCAGTCTCTTTTTTTACTGCTTCATTGTAAAATAAGAAAACTGAATGGAATAGAGCATATGATGTCTAGCTAGGACTGGAGAGACCAGGGTTCAAAACCCACTGTTATGAAGCACACTAGGTGACTTTGGAGCCAGTCACCTATCTCTTAGTCTCACCTGCTTAACAGGGTGGCTGTGAGGATAAATCAAGGAAGAGAAGAACCAGGCTCTCCTTGAACCTTGAGCTCCTTGGACAAATATCAGTTTGGTTGTTTTTTCCCCCCTTCAGCAATGGTTGAACTGCTTGTCTTAAGGCATGCAAGTCTTGTGCTTGGAATGATTACTTTTAAAAGTTTAGGCATACTCCCTATTAAATGGTGTCTGTGCTATTTGGGTCTCTTAATTGCTTGGGCACTGACGTTAGGCTTCAGATTGTTCCTTGCGGTCTCATTTTCTTGTTCGACAAACTTTGGCAGATGAGTCCAATAAAGATCATCTGAATTTTCTATAGTGTTCATATTCACAAGTTTTGATCTGTCCAATCCACTTGACTAGTTTCTGAATGAAGGTGTCTGGCTTCTTAACTTGTCACCCTTGAGTTCCTGCCAATACAATATGTGTCACATTGCCCTGAGACAAAAGTAGCTGCTGTTGTTATTGCTGCTAAGACAAAACTTAATTTTGTATGTCTTGCTTCTAGTTGGGGAAGTTCTAAAGACGTCTGGTTCAACATTTTAAAGAAAGAGAACAAGTATTTACACTGCAAACATTTTACATCTCTACACTCAAACCTACAACCACACATGCGATCAATTCTATTAGACTGGCTTCTAGAGGTGAGTACAATATAGGGTATACGAAACTTGTACTTTGGAGAGGGGCATGGCTCAGAAGTAGAGCATCTGCTTTGCATATAGAAGGTCCCAGGCTCAATCACTGGCATCTTCAGTTAAAAGGATCAGGTAGTCAAAGGTGTAAAAGACTTCTAAGTCCTTGGACAGCTTCTGGCAGTCCGAGTACACAATTCTTACCTTGGTAGTCCAGTGGTGTGACTCTAGAAGGCAGACTCTAGAAGGCAGCTGCATGTAAGACAATAGTCTCAAGTACTGGACCAACAGTCAATGGTTTCTTCTTTAGTTCTAGTTTCAGAGAATAGTAAGATTGGTCTGCAGTAGAAGAGTTAAATTCAAGTCCAGTACCACCTTGGAAGCCAACAAGAGTTTCAGGGTACAAGCTTTCGAGAGTCAACGCTCTCTTCGTCAGACACAGTAGAGTAGAAATGACTAGGATAAAAGGGCTCAGATCACCATTTCTACTCTGCTGTGTCTGGCGAAGAGAGCTTTGATTCTTGAAAGCTTCTACCCTGAAACTCTTGTTGGCCTCCAAGGTGCTACTGGACTCTAAACTAGCTGTTCTTTAGTTCTAGACTTTTATTCTCTAGCTGTACCTTGGATGCAGCATTAAACTTAAGTGAAGCAGAGAACTTAATATTCTTTTAAAGTTAGTGACTTTATAGGGAAATTAAGAACTTGTGTTGATCTAAAGTAACTTGCAGTGGGCCTTCATTCTGAACAGGCATATGCTTGTGACTGCAATATTCCCTCCCAATATTTATGATACTGTAAGATAACCATTTCAGCAGTTATGCTTAGGAGAGACTAGATACAGAGTTATATCTCTGCACATAGGAGCAGTGTAGCTCTTGCTTCAATTTAGGAATTGCTTGAAAAGCAATATTCTGCTCAGGTTTTGGACTGTTGTTCTATAATGTGGCTGGCCATGACCATGAGATTCATTCTCTTTACAGGTATGTGAAGTCTACACACTTCATAGAGAAACTTTCTATTTAGCACAAGACTTTTTTGATCGATTCATGCTGACTCAAAAAAATATAAACAAAACCATGCTTCAGCTCATAGGAATTACAACTCTGTTTATTGCTTCTAAGCTTGAGGTAAGTCAAACATTTCTTTGATTATACATCTAGATTACTTCCTTTCTAGAGCTGTCCAAGACAACTAAAGCCTTCCCTGGTGAAGCAGTTAAGAAAGAGAACATTTAAACCAGTAGATTATAATAACTTTAATTTAAATGACTAACAGTGAATGTTCTAACCAGCACATGTGAAAAGTTAAAAATGGTTCTGGGGAGCTTAGTTCTTGCAAATGGCAAATAGTTAGATGTTTATGCCCATCAAATCTAAACTGATAGTACAATGGGAAGCATTGGCCCACAGACATGAATTTATCTGGCTCTAGCTTCATTTTTGGATAATAATAAATTGATCTTTATGCTTCCTTGTCCTTAAACAATTATCTGGCTGTTCACTTTCAGACCTGGGAGTTTAAGATCAGATTACTAACAGAAGGGAATCTGAATAGAAACTTGGACTGCTTGCTTAAATTTCTCCAGATTGTAGTGTAATATATTGCTGAGAGGCCCATTTGCCAAAATAATGCTGCCTGCTTGATTACTTTGCATATGGAGTCTAGTCAATCATGAAGACTTGTGAGAACTTTGTAGCAGCATTTTTTCCCCTACTTACAAGATGTGGTGTTGGATGGCTGTTGTGCATTTTTCTTTTTTGGAAGGAAATAAAATAAACTTTATATGCATCATGTAATCAGGTGGCAGAGCAATTGATTGAGCCTCTATAGATCTGCAGAGCCAGTGTGGTCTTTGGATATTATAATAGATCTGACCCTAGCAGTGCTTGTTTCATATTCTGTTTCTGATTCTTCTGTCTTGCTCAAGACAACCTTTCCAAGGACAGTGGTCCAGTTCAGAAACTCTTAGCCCCCTTTCTTTCACTCCAGTATTTATTCATGAGAGTGGACGTGGCTGCTGCAATCTTACAATGTATCTCAGATTGTGTGGAGGTGCAATTGTATGAATTAAATCCTCCATGGGTGTGGACACGCTGTCACTAGTACAATGTGTATTTATGATGGTTCTCCAATAGACCGGCAACAGCTTGCCAGTCCTATGAGCAGACCCAGGTTAATGCAATCCAGTTCCTCCATGTGATTGCTACTGGGTCACAAACCCGCCAGTGTGTGTTTAAGCATCTAAACCAAAACCATGTTTATTCTGTAAAACTACATTAGTTGTGGTCTGCTAAACAGGGTTGTAAAATTAAACAATTGTCTTATGTCTGTCCTACCATTCTCTCTCCCCCCCCCCTTTTCTTTAATAAGGAGATATATGCTCCCAAGCTACAGGAATTTGCATACGTTACTGATGGTGCTTGCAGTGAAGAAGACATTATAAGGATGGAGCTCATTATACTAAAGGTAACAAAAGTATTGATCATTGGGACAGCATGGAGTAGTGGTTAGTGCCAGACTAGACCAAGGGAGATAAAGGTTCTAATCTCTCATCAGCCATGAGGCCATCTCGGAGTATTTAGGCCAAGTCAGGCTTTCCCAGCTTAACCACCCCATGGTGGGGCTCCTAAGATCTTTGGAGCAGGGTAGGATAAAAGAGAGAGATTGGTTGTTCGCCAAGTTGTGAAATGAACAGAACTGTCTTCAAAATCCTAACTGGTCCAGGAGCAAATATTACTGAACAATACATATACAGCCCTGATAGCATGTCAACAGGGTCCATTCTGCACGAAGAGTGTGCATCATTTAAAATTTAGTATTTGAGGGAAGATAATCCTCATTCTGCAGGATTTAGAAAGAGGTTTACTTGTTAAGCAGCCAGTGGTTTATGCTAGTATAGAAATGCTATAGCCTTATCTTTCTAGGTATACTGGGGCTAATATGCCAGTTTATCTGTTCAAGTGAACTAGGCTTGTGACACATGCCCCCAAGTCCTATCCAGGATCTCACTAAGTACCCAAACTTTGGCTCAAGTCCCATTTTGTGAAAAGACAATGCAACAAAAACAAGCAAACAATTCCATATATCTCATACAGTTTCACCATCACCCAAGATACAGTAAATTGTTGTATCGTGTTAAACTGCGCACACGGGGAGAGCTAAAGCATTTCACTTTTGTCTCCCTGAAACACAGGCTCTAAAGTGGGAGCTCAGCCCAGTAACGATAGTCTCTTGGCTCAAACTTTATCTCCAAGTGGATGCCCTGGAAGATATCCCAAAGGTGCTGCTACCTCAGTATTCTCAGGAAATGTTTATTCAAATAGCACAGGTGAGTGCCCATTCCAGTATGTGTGGTTTGTAACAGTTATTAAGGCAACGATACATCTCTAGCACAGATGCCCCAGTTACTTGGCACTAAATGGGAGCGCCTGGCCGGAGAGAGGCATCTTGTATTGCTTGGCAGTCTGAGTACCATGAAGAGGCTGGCTTTGGAATGCAGAACAAGAAATGATGTGCTGGAAATGTCCTATGCTCTTCATTATACACAGTGCAATCCTATGCAGAGTTACTCCCAATGAAGTCAATGGGCTTACGATGGGAGTAGCTGTACAGGATTGCACTGACAGTTGCTTACAGCTGTTCCTCCTCACCCAGCTGCACAATATTTACTGCATGATCTAGAGTGGTACTATGTTTGCAGTGTTCTCTGTAAGGGAATATAGTATTTGTACCGGAGAATAATCTGTACATTGTACCTGAGAACTTGGATAACGTGTATTTTGCTTGGCGTGAAATGTGCACACGGATTCTCTTCTTGGTTTCTTCCAAATGGCAATGACTTTCTATGTAGCATTCATATTAAGGCATTCTCAACTGCATATGGCGTGGCAGTTTTATCCTTAATCTCCTTGCCCCTGTCCCTTCCCACACCACTGGAGGGCTTTTTCAGGATTTCTTTAAAACTGGCAATTGACATATTGCTGTAACTACCTTATCTACTAAGTCCTCTGAATTCTCAGCATTCATTATATTTTAAAAGTCTCTAGCCCTTTTTTTGGTAAGATATGTGTTTTCCCTTGTACCTCTGCAGCAAAAAGGGAAAAGAGACTTGCCTTTTTAAAAACAAAAAAGCTACAGAACAACCAGTAGGTAGGTTGTTACAGTGGTATAACACTATGGTAATAGGTCAGTGAAGTCCTAAAAAAAGTCCCCCAATAGTAGAGTGAAATAGCTGCGGTAAAGAATATGGTGCCAATGTGGTCAGGGCTTGAAAAAATGAACACCTTCCCACCCACCTATACAAACATGTCTTGACTGTGATAATTCTCTTGAAGACTGTACCAAACCAGGGTCCCGGTCACACGGGCCAGAAAATGTGTGTGTGGGGGGGAGCATGGCTGTTTGCCCCGGAGCAAAGTAACGCGCAGCAGCCTGATCACATGTCCCGTGGAAGTCCCATGGATATGCCGTTAGGGGCCGATCACATGGCTATCCTGTGGCGTGGCACAATCTGGCAATCGCTATGTGCCGCTTCCGTGGCAAATGGGCATTTTTCCCCCTCACCAGTGTGCACATGTGCTGGTGGCCGTTTGTGCGCATCCTGTGGAGACTTTAAAAAAAACTATCTGGTTTGCGACGGGACATGGGCGGGCGCCGGATGCCACGGGATTCCAGCGGAAACGCGATCAGACGCCCGCCCTTGCCCCATGTTTTCCGGAAACTAGCACATTGTATGTACTAGTTTTTTACTCCGTATCTTCAGCAAGAAGCCACAGGTTATCCACGGGTGCACTACGCTTCCCAGATGTTGTGGTGTGATCACGCCCGGAAAATCCGCCTATCATCGTATCTTTAGCATGGCAAATGCTCCGAGTGAACTGGGCCCAGGTGTAGGAAGGATTGTAGTAAAGCAAGTGGATAGCTAGGGAACAATGTCATTTGGATATTCTCTTCCCCTCCAAACACCCCCATGGCTCTGATCTGAATACCAAACTGGGCAAAACCCTTTTTTGTGACTGCACCCCTTGTAAGGATGGGGCTGCCAAAAGAGCTTACAGCACTGTTCTCCCCTCTTGGGGATTTGAAACTGGGTCTCCCAGATGCTAGCCTGGCCCAGCCACCAGGCTCTCAGAACAGCCTTCTGTCACGGCTCCTTCTGAATCCCATAGGCCGAAGTATTCTGAAACTGTCATTCCTCCCAGGCACACGGGCCTTTTTTGTTTTTAATTGGGTGGGAAGATTACCTCATCCTGAAACCCTTGAGAATGAGAACTTATTCTTTCCTTCTGGGGTGATATAGTATAATCTAGACAAGTGGGAAGTTGAAAAAAGTAGTAACGCTTCTCCTAGCGCAAGATGAAAACAAGCTATTGACCTATTCTGTTTTAACTGTCCAGTGGGCCTTTTTACCAAAAGCTTTATCTACAGTGCAATATTGAATAGTGTGATTTACAGCTCTGCTGTTTAGTCATAAATAGGTTTCAGCTTAATCAACTTAAACTAAAATATAGATGACTGATAAAAACTCTGTGGTTAACCCAAATCTCAGGAGAATAAATATTGTAAAAGTGGTTGGTTGTACTACTCAAGTAACATGAGCTTAATATGTGGGATAGACTTAAAACACTGACAGAATCTGGTGTACGAAGCAAAACAGACCATTGCTATTTCTGGAGTCTTAGCAAGAGAAGGGTACCATTTGCACTTTACTAGGGCAATGACATGGTAATTGGCTGAAGTGGAGATATTCCAAAGTTAGATGGTTCTCTCATACAGTAGCTGAAGTACTGCACCACTTCAGAAGCTGGTTATAGCAGGAATTGTTCTAACAAAATGTGTGGCTTCCTTTACAGCTCTTAGATCTCTGTATTCTAGACGTCAATTCTCTGGATTTCCAGTACAGGACGTTGGCGGCGGCTGCAACTTGCCATTATACCTCAGTAGAAGTAGTTAAGAAAGTATCAGGTATGATAAAATAACATGCTCTTGTGCCTCTGCTTGCATGTTTGGATGCAAGGTGCATTGAAGTCTGTAGTTAAGGTTAGGGTGTAGAAATACTTTAATTTAGGATATTAGAGCATACAGCTGCTGACCTCCAATAGCATGTACTCCTGTTCTTGTGAGCTACAGCAAACGTCAGTGTTCTAGACCATGAATTTCTTCCACCCCACCCTGTCTTCATCTAGCCATTGTATACCAGTGGATTCCAACAACAAAATCCTAGCCCTACACTGAGTCAACTCTGTTTTAATTTATTTAATTCCATTTATTGATTGCCTATCCCCACAGACTGTGGGGCTCAAGGCCATGGACAAGAGTTCTAAAAAACAATCCAATAACATACTATAATTAAAAGCAGGTGGTAAAACTTTGTAGCTTCCTACAGTATCTGGTATGTGAGCGCTACACATATTCAGGGGGGAATAAGTTCTATACAGAAGAAAGGTCCAGGTGGGTAGGGTTAGGGTGCCAGCCATGATGTTAACCGTTGCTGTCCTCAACCAAATGCCTGGCGGAACATCTCTGCCTCACAGGCCCCGTGGAATTGCATAAGGTCTCGCAGGGCCCTGATGTTATTTGGCAGAGGGTTCCACCAGGTTGGGGCCAGGGCCGAAAAAGCCCTGGCCCTGGTCGAGGACAGCCGTATCTCTCTAGGGCCAGGGATCACCAGCAGATTGTTCTGTGAAGAGCGTAATGCTCTCCTGGGGGTATAACGGAAGAGGTGGTCCTGCAGATACGTTTGTCCCAGACTGCTGAAGGCCTTGAACTTGACTTGGTGCTGCACTGAAGCCCCCCAAAAATTTCTTCCAATCTCTCTCCCCTGCTAAACCTACTGGGAATGCCTTTCCTTTTCGGGAAGGGGTATCTGTTCTTGCAAAGGAAGAGCTGGAAACTGCTGGTGGGACCAACAATTCTTGCCTATAACCTACAAGAGGAGAGGTGTAATGGATAGTGTGTCAGACTAGAACCCTGGGAGACCTAGGTCGAGATCCCCACTTCTACCATTGAAACTCACTGGGCCTGTCATGTACTCTCAGCCTGACCTACCTTGCAAGGCTGTTGGTCTAAGCCGCTATGAGTCACAACTGGGGAGAAAAGCAGGATGTAAATAAATGAATGCAAATACAGCTCTACCCATAAAGCTTCGTCTTGAAAAGGCAGGTGGCATTTGAAGGATCATGCCTGTGTAGTGCTGGAAGCAGAGATTTTAGCAGGACTCTCAGGTGGTGGTTGTGCAGCACTTGGCCCCTGCTGGCCCTGCTTCTCTGGGTTGTGGTAACTGGTTTTAACTTGAAGCACAAAGTGTCATCCCGTAACAGTGCCAGAACTGTGAGCTGTTCCCTCTGAGCTAGGATTTCTGTAGGAGAGGACAGCGAAACTGATTTGTTTCAGTTTGGTGTAGTGGTTAAGTGTGCAGACTCTAATCTGGGAGAACCGGGTTTGATTCCCCACTCCTCCACTTGCACCTGCTGATGTGACCTTGGGTCAGTCACAAGCCCTGGCACAGCTGTCCTTGAAAAAGAGCAGTTTGTGTCAGACTTCTCTCAGCCCCACCCACCTCACAGGGCGTCTGTTGTGGGGAGGGGAAGGGAAAGGAGTTTGTAAGCCGCTCTGAGACTCCAAGTGAAGGGCGGGGTATAAATCCAATCTCTTCTTCTTCAAATAATAGCTGGTGTACTGGCTAAGACTGACCTGTCAGTCAGGAAGTTATCCAAATCTTTTCCCTCTGTCATGAAATCATCAAGTGACCTTGAGCAACCTGCTGTGTCTGAGCTTCAACCCCTGTCTATAATATAGGATTATTGGAAGGCTGCTGTAAAGGCTACTGGGATAGCCGTAAGAATATAAGAAGAGCCCTGCTGGATCAAACCAGAGGTCCATCTAGTCCAGGGGTGGCCAAACTGTGGCTCAGGAGCTACATGCGGCTCTTTGGTACATATTGCGTGGCTCCCACTACAGTGGCTGGGGAAGAAAAGGGGAGGCATCCTTCCCCAATTGGTCTTCCCTTCCCCAGCCAGTGCAGAGAAAGAAAGCAACTTGAACTTTAAACGTGATTATTCTCAAAGTGCACCTCCCCCGCCAGCCGGCTTGGAGGCGGGGGGAGGGGCTTGGAGAACACGTTTAACGTTAAAGTTGCTTTCTTTCCCTCCTTAAAGTTATCAATTTAATATTAATAAAAAGCAAATTCGCATATTTTCCAATTTAAAACATTTGTTCACGTCTTGGGGGTCTCAAACATCTGACGTTTATTCTATGTGGCTCTTACATTAAGCAAGTTTGGCCACCCCTGATCTAGTCTTAACTTCCTGTCTCACACACTGGCCAACTCTAGAAGTCCACTTCCTCTGGCATAGAGACTGAGACCTTCTTCCCCTGCTATTGCCTCTTGGCACTGGTATTCAGCTTTACTGCCTATGAACATGGAGGTTCCTTTTAGTCACCATGGCATGTAGCCACTAATAGCCCTATTCCTCCATGAATCAGTCTAATCCCCTTTTAAAGCTGTCTGTGCCTGGGGCCATCACTCACAGCGAATTCCACACAATTACTTGCTGTATAGAGTATTTCCTTTTGTCTGTCCTGAATCTACTGCCTGTTTTGGGAGAGGGAGAAATAGTTCTCCTTGTCAACTCCCTGTGCATAATTTTATAAACCTTTACCATGTTCTCCCATTTGGTCATCTCTTTTCTAGACTGATAAATGCCAAACTCTTCAGCCTTTCCTCATAGGGAAGGTGCTCTAGCCCCCTAATTATCTAAAAAAGATCATCTGTTCATTAAGTACATATTGTTTAAATAGGGTTGTCCTTTTATTTTAAACTTAATCTTTAAAGGCAACCACATGATCAAATGTGCTGCTACTATGGAAAAAGAGATTGGAGTGAGTGTACAATCCCCTCCCCTCCCCTCCCCCACAACAGACACCCTGTGAGGTAGGTGGGGCTGAGAGAGCTCTCTCAAGAACTGCCCTTGAAAGAACAGCTCTGAAAGAACTTATCACTGACCCAAGGTCATACCAGCAGCTGCATGTGGAGAAGTGGGGAATCAAACTTGGTTCTCCCAGATTAGAATCCACGCTCTTAACCACTACACCAAACTGGCTCTGTGTTCAATATGCCATAATGCTCACTGGGTGGCTTTAGGCTAATCACTCACATTTACTCTAACCTGATAGCCTTATTAGGATGAAATGGGGATGGGAGGAACAGAGTATCACTCCCTCAGCTCCTGGAGAAAAAGCAGTGTAACAGTTGTGTAGTAGTGGGGTAACTTTGTGCAACCTTGTGTCAGAAATGATTATGTTTTTGGTTCTTAGGCTTAGAATGGAACAGTATTTCAGAATGTGTAGAGTGGATGAGACCATTTGTCAAGGTATCAAAAAAAGCCCCGGTAAAATTGAAGAACTTTAAGAAAATTGCAGCAGAAAATAGACATAATATACAAACCCACACCAACTACTTGGATATGCTGGTAAGACTACCTTTTGCTTTGGTCCTAATTTCATCTGTGGTGGCAGTAGGTTTTTCCCCTGTTAGGAATGTTAAAAGGATGCAATGTATTCTACTTTGAAACAAAACCAGTTAAATGTATATCAGCCCCCAATTTTGTGAAGTTAAATGACTGCCACCCTAAAATGGCAGCCATAGAAGGATGCAACCAACTACAAAATGGCTACCATAGGAGTTAAAACTGATTATAAAATGTTAGGAGGTTCCAAGCCAGGTGTTGTCCCGTGATGGAGACAGCTGAGTCTGAATTGGTGCTACCTGAAGATACCCGAATTCTTCAAAGTGCAAGAAACTAAATAAGGTGGAAGGCAAGAGGGAAGTATTGTGGGAATGATGCAAAGAAAACTGAGGTGTCCTTCAAGTCCCTGTACAACTTGGCCAGATGTTTCCTGGGGAGAGGCTGCCAGGGGTAGGAAAAGGCTGGTGTCCAGTGTTCCCTCTAAGCTGAGTTAGTGTGAGCTAACTCAGTTTTTTAGCCTCCAGCTCACACATTTTTATCCCAGCTCATGGAGGATGACTGAAGAGCAAACTAATTTATGCAGTAGCCAAATTGCTCACTGACAACTTTAATGCCAGTCGCTCACAGCTTAGAGGGAGCATTGCTGGTGTCACGTAGTGGGGTAAGAGTGTAGGACTAGGATCTGGGACAGCCAGGTTTGAATCCCCTCTTCAGCCAGGGAAGCCTGCCAGGCGACAATCTCTTCAACTCACCCACCTTTCATGAATTGTAAGGATTAATTGGTGGAGGGAGGAAAGATGTGAAAATTCACTTTGAGTTCCTGGGCAGGGAGAAAAGCAGGATATAAATAAAGTTAAGTGAAAGGAAAACTGGAGGAGGAGGAGATAAAGGTAGACTGGCAGGCTGCTGGGAAGCAGGCAGGAAAAGGCGAGAGGCTATGGAGGCTCTCGGGGAAGGGAAAGAAAAAGTGGGGAAATGAGACCCTCCTGCAAGTCACCCGCTTCTCACTTCTGTCATCCAAGCTAGCCAACTTTCCACGCTGTATGCTAATCAGTTACCATAATATTCTCCACTACTACAGTATGTAAAATTTTTGAGTTCCTGGGAGTAAAGACTTGTATGGGGGCTCTACCTTTCTGGTTATCCATGTTCTTGTTTGCAGGAAGCAAAAGGTTGGTTTGGCCCTGGTGCAGATATGGTTGGAAGTACTACATTATTTTGATTTGATGCACCCTCAGTAACTTTTTAAATTAATAAATCCTGAGTCCACCATCTCGGTGCAGCCTTAAACAGATGTGATGCTGGGAGTTTCATGAACAGAACTCCCACCACTTCTCTAAGAATCAGGCACATGGGGAGCTTAACATAAGAGAAGCCAATGTTGGATCAGGCCAATGGCCCATCCAGTCCAACACTCTGTGTCACACAGTGGCCAAAAATACCAGGTGGGGCCAGGACACTAGAAGCCCTCCCACTGTTGCCCCCCCCCCAAGCACCAAGAATACACAAGAGCTTGATTAAAAGTAGGACCCTAGCCCAAGATGTGGGGGTAGGCAGCTCTTTCTGAAACTACTGTTTCAGCTAATAATAGTTCTCTAGAGCAATTTCAGTTGGTGAAATAGGGGAGGAGGAGCTTAATGCACTGGGGGAACCTGCTTCAGAAACAAAACACTGAGAGCTCAGTTGATGGAGCTGTGTCACATCTGTCTGAGCCCTTATCAGTCCAATTTACTGGGCATATTGCTTAAGGGCAATAACAACGAAAGACAGCTTGTACTTAAACCCTTCCCTACCCCCCTTTTCATTCGGGATGTGGTGACACCTGAATCCTCTGATCAGCTAGCAGAAGGCACTCTTAGTTATGGGTCTTCCCCCCCAGTAGTTCTTCCTGCCCTTGGGGACCTCTGCTCCTGTGGGATCTGACAGTCAAACAGGGAAGGCAGCTGCAGTGGCAAAGGGATGACATCACCCTCTCTCTCCCACCTTCCAAGTGTCAGGAAGAACAGCTCAGGAGTGTCTGGGAGAGATCTAGATCACAAGCCCCCAACCCTTTTTTAAAAATCAAAATTGACTTATGCACCTGATAAACAAATCCAGAGAGAATATATTGTAGAAGGTGTTCTGCATGGGTGGTGTACACAAGGCAGGGTCTATGTGCTCTGACCTGGATAGCCCAGGCAAGCCCGATCTTGTCAGGTCTCAGAAGCTAAGCAGGGCCGATCTCCAAGGAATACCAGGGCCAGGATGCAGAGGCAGGTCATGTCAAAGACTCCAAAATGTCCTAGCCCCACTAGGGGTTACCAGCATACACACACACAAAATACCACCCCCCTCCCGGGTCCATGAGAAACTCAAGGATGATAAACAGCTATATGAAACTTCCATTCAGACAAGAAGTAACAAGAGCACCACCTTTCTGCCCTGTTGGTGAACCGCTATTAAACAAGCTAAGAGGACAGTTACTACAGGTGTATTACTATTAGCTTTACTGAAAGTAATCAAACTACTTTATTGAACAGGAAGAAGCTAACTTTGAGGCAACTGTTGTGGTCGCAGGTCAACTGTCACCCATGTCTACAGGAGGAATAATCACTCCCCCAAAGAGCTCTGAAAAGAAGTGAAATACCAGAATACATCTGCATGAACTCTATATCATAAGACTCATAAAAGAAAAAACTGAACTATTGGAGAAGATACCAAATATAACAGAAGAAAGAAGGAAGTCTTAATGGGAGAAGGCCTGAAGCTGTTAAGTTTACACCCTAACCCACTAGGCTGTGGGATAAAGCTGGATTTCTTGAAGTTATTCATAAACATTTTGTTTTAACCTGTAACAACAGCCTTCATTTTTGCTTCATACGTAACTAAAGTTTGGAGGCAGCTTGGCTCTAGGGTTACACTTAACCTACTGTATTCCAATTGCCAGGATAATGTATTCATTTGTTTAACCCTAGTAGAATATGGTCTGACTTGTTCCAAAAGCCTAGGCAATACTACGAGCAGCCTGAATAGGACTTCGGGCCAAGTCTGCAATTAAATGAGTTGATGCAGTATTAACTTCTGCCTAGAAGCTAGAACAGCTGGTGCTCCTGCCCTTTTTTCCCCCGGTCCTCTTTTAAGGAGAGCACAGCAAGGCACAGATATCCAAACAGGGTTGGCTGAAGCATCTAAAATGATGGCTGAACCAGTGAAATGGTCTTCATCAGCAACATGCCTCTTGTATTGCTATATGCAACACTGTTACCCACAACAGCAAACTGCTTGTTTAAGGATGCAAAGAATCTAAGGTGACTAAAGATCAGTAATTTATATAGGATTTCCTTCTACCTTACGGAGCTCAGAATGCAAGAATATGCTGTTAGCTGGAAAAATCCTCTGCCCCCAGTAAAAAGGCTTAGGGCCAATGAAGCATTGAACTATTATCTAGAATCCTGGGCTGGAGGGAAAACAGCAAACCCATCATTTGGGTTCCACTGTAACATGGCTGCTGGCAAGGGAAAGCAGATGATATTCATCAACAGGGCATGCTCCAGCCTGAAGACCAATGGTTTGTAACACCTGAACTATTCCAGAGGGACCAACTCTTTAAGAGGCACATCGTACCTTTTTTCTCCTGTTTCTGCCCAAGAACAAAGCTACCACAAAATTGGGGGTGGGGGTGGGGAGAACAGACTGGAGAAGACTAATGTTACAGACATCCTAGTAGGACACTCTGAATACTACAGAGAGTTATATGGTGCCGAAGAGTGTGCATTCTGCACTCTATCTTGTATCTGTTTGAAATGCATTATGGAAGATTAACTACTTCTGTACAAGCTTGTAAAATAAGGAAGGATTTATGTTTTTAAAAATAGGAAAATACCACACTATTGTTTATAAATATGTATTGTATGAAAGTCTCACATGTAATAAACTGTTGGAATGTCATGAAAGACCTTTAGAAGTAGAGCTGTGCCATTGTTTGCAGAAATTTCTTTTTTCGCCTTTGAGCGGCAAGCTGTAACACTTCTTCTGGATTGCTGGCGTTCAGCTCGGTCTGGCCAATAGCTTTAATCTAAATACATAACCATCAGTTAATTCACTTTTGTAACAAGCATGTTCAAATTCACAAATCACAAATCCACGCTTCAATTGAAGTGTTAACGTTAATTCACTTTTGTAACAAGCATGTTCACAAATCACAAATCCACGCTTCAACTGAAGTTCAATTTTTTTTTTAAAGGACAAAGGTGATGAGGTAGACATGACTGTGGCTGCACAAAAATAGCAGTAAGAGCAAAGCAGAAAATGAACAGTGACTTACTGCTATTTGTTTCTTGTCCGTTTCTCCTCGCTTATGATGAAGATCTGCAAACCTCTTAAGGAAATATAGAACAGCTCTGCAAGCAGTTGGATAAACCTTACTGGTAGCACTTCCACATGCTAATTTTCACACAGTGGTCTTAACATCTTCCCAAGGGCACAGATTAAAACCCAGTCTGAACACAGTGATCAGCAGTGGGTCAGATTCAGAAAGTAGGATCCATGTTTTCAGTACAGTAACTGGCATTTTTACTGGCAAGAAACTTTGCTCTATTCCCTGCTTAGCTGGCCATCATAGTCACTTTTGGGAAAGGAACCACAAGTGTATGAAAACCTGCTTGTCATAAAAGTTCATGTAAGCCTCACTGAAATTGCTCTAGTTTTTCAAACCTACAATGTGTAGCTGTTTGTTTTTTACAAGAGGATACGTGTCAAGTATTCCAAGATGGTAATATCCCAGATGTAGTCATAATAAGAGTCCATAGCATCATGACTGAAAAGAAATAGCAAGCATAAATTAACCACATTTCATTTATTAAAAAATACTGGGCATACAGTAATCATACCATTATATTAGTAAAAGATGCCATTTACCTGTTTTGCTCTTGAAGTACCTTAAATGCAGTTTTATAATCTACTTCCCGTAGGAACTGGCATAAAATAGCTACCTAGGTAGGATAAAAACGAGGACTTGATAAAACACAACCTGCGCCACAAAACCACCTCCCCAGAACTTTCTATGCTGCAGAAGTATACAATGCAACATGCATTATAAATGAAACAGTGGCAAATATTTAATGTGGTACACTTTTGCTTTAGATATATAGTCTTACCTGTGTGTGACAGTTGAGCAGAGAACAACATTTTATCATTCGTTTTATCACCTAGAGAAAATAAAGACAGTGTAAGCAGCAATTCTAGCATGTATCCAGTTATCCAATATTGTACCATACTTGATTTTAGAAACACATGATTTGTATTACAAGGGCTAGTTATAGTACAGGAACCGTACCATATTTCTGGTTACTATTGGAATGGATGAAAACATCTTACTGCATTTCCATAAGATGCTCAGCCTTCACAATATGATAATTCTGATGTTGAGGGTCACCCAGCAAGAATGCTTCTCTGTACATGTGTACAGATATGATTTGGCAGTGCGTGTGTACTAGGGCTCTGCGCTTGGTATATACTGAGCCGAATATATTTACTGAAGTAGCCTCACCCGAATAAAAGCTGATATTATTCAGCTTCCTGAGTGAAGGCCAGAGGTTTAAAGTTTAAACCCCTCCCCGCCCGGAGTCAGGCCTCAGTTGCAACATGACTCCAGAGAGAAGGGAAGGGGTTTAAACCCCTCCCTGGAGTCCAGCTGCAGCTTCTGCAGGGTGGTTTTTAAACCACTCCACGGAAGAAGCCAGCTCAGTCTGTGCAGCTGGGGGAGAGCTCTCCCTCCCCGGCGTGCACAGATCCTGGGGCAAGCTTCTTCTCTGGGGTAGTTTAAAAACCACCCTGCAGAAGAAGCCCTGCCAGGCAGCTAGGTCTGTGTGGTGGGGAGGGCTCTCCCTCCCCGCTTGCACAGATCCCAAGCCCAGTTTCTTCCCACAGATCCCAAGCCCCTGCAGAAGAAGCTCTCCCAGGAAGGATTTAAACGTTACTAGTATTCCGGAATACTCTGGAATACCAAATATTTTCGGGTGTGGTGGGGAGGGCTCTCCCTCCCCGCCTGCACAGATCCCAAGCCCAGTTTCCTCTGTGGGGGTTTAAAAACCACCCCACTGAAGATGCTCTCCCAGGAAGGATTTAAACTTTAAATGCTTGCTGGGTTCAGTCGGTACTAGTATTCCGGAATACTCTGGAATACTGAATATTTTCAGGTCAAAAGTACCTGAATCCAAAGTCAACCATTTTTTTTTCTTGCACCCCCCCTCCCCAATATATAAAATAATTTACGAGTGAGCGAGGGTTGCTGACCTCCAACTGTTACAACTGATCTCCAGACAACCAAGATCAGTTCCCCTGTAGAAAATGGCTGCTTTGGAGGATGGACTCTGTGGCATTACACACGTGCTAAGGGTCCCTCCCCTCCCCAAACCCCGACCCTCTCCAAATCTCCAGGTATTTCCCAGTCCAGAGCTGGCAAGCCTAGAATGATCCTAGTAAAAAATAATAATATATATGGATGGAGAACACCTAAGGAGTATAACGGTGCACTATTATCCCGAGACCCATTAAAACTTTGCACACGGTTTCTAGCACTGGGAGTGAAGAGGTGGAGTGAGAAGGTGGAAACTACTGGGAGCCAATGAATTCAGATATTTAGCAAGTTTGTCATCTCAAACGTCCACTGATCAATGTCCTACCAGACTTCACTCCTGAGAGCCTTGTTTTATGCTTGCAAAGCAGAACATATGCCTGTCAACCTGTTTTCTGCCAGACTCACCTGATCAGTATAGACATCAGGTGGCACCATCTTAGTAAAGAAATCTGAGCACACAGCTCCTGCCTGAAGATAGTAGTGAAGAGCTGCAGAGTACTGATTCGTTGCTACATTGGAAGGAAACAAAAAATATTGGTTAATGCAGAGTTTACGCAATAATTGTTCGTTGTGTTCACTTTCTGCCCTTCCTCTCCAAAAGAGCTTGCATTGGTTAAGGATAATTTAAGGAAGATCATAACCCCTATAGGAACCCCCCCAACAAAAAGAATCAACTAAAAAATATTGGGGAGGGGATGGCAGTACACAGTTTTGTATGAAAGTTAGTCCCAGATAAGATATTCCTCATAAATATGCAAGGAGCCTGCCACGTTTATGATTCCAGACACGGTTGTTACAAGAGTTTAAAAAATCCACTCCCACACGACACACTGACACACGTTATAGCTGTTTTTGAGCTGCAAAAAGACTAAGTCTGAAGAGTGCCAGCTACTGAGCCGCAGAAATGCCAAAAGTGCTTCATTCTACTTACCAAAATAAATGTCCGCCTGAATTATTAACCAGAAGTGGTTGTTTGAGTTTATAGTCAGTGCATAACTGACTAGCTCTTTGATAGTAACAGCTACAGCTTCAAAATCCACTGACTGTAAACTAAAAAAGAATAGGATGTTTATAATGAATAAATACGCACATTCAAAATCTATTCCCTGGCCGTTACTAGGCTGTGCTACTGACAAGTTGAGCAGCAGCACTTTATTTTTGCCCGCCATCATCAACAGGGAGAGGATAAGCCCACAAACTGAAAAGAGCCTCTATTTACAGGGTGTCTAAGCAAGCAGGAAGAGCACCTTCCATTCAGGAGAACATTCCGTATCATCAAACCTTCCATTGTCCTCACCAGTGTGATCAACCAGGATTATGAAGTGCTTTGCCTGA